CCCCCCCCCCCCCCCCCCACCATTTGTCTGCTTTATCTGCTTCTTCAGTGGTGAATTTTTTTAAGGCAAAAGGTGGTATTTTGGCAGAAATCTGACCTAATCCAAAACCTTGGGCTCTACTCACTGCGGGAGGCGGGGGAAGCTGTCTCCTCTTGGAATAAACCTGTGGTGGTGAGATCTGTCACCAAACTCCTCTGGGTCTGTACGGACGGGGGGAGCAAACCATTGCTGTATCTCCAGGTCGCGCAGGGGAGAGCTCTGTGAACCTGTTGGGGTTTAACGTCCCGTTGCTTGGCCAGACTCCACCAAAACTGCACTTTCTACAACTGCACTTGAGCAGCTTTGGGTGGTTTATACCCAGGAAACTACTCACGTGTGATGGGATGGCAAATCAGGCCTGAGCTGCACCAGTGGGTTCCACTTTCCTGAAAGCTTCTAACAAACGAAGCAATGAGTAAATGTGTAATTCCTGTGCTAATGAGGCTTCCCCCCCCACCCCCCGCCTGTGGCCTTATCGAGCCGGGGTGTCTGCAGCTCAGCGTGTGAGAGATGGCTGCGATTAGTTGTCTAATCTCTGTGCACATCCCAGCTTCAGTTGGTGCCCCTTGAGATTAAAAACCTCTTCATCTGCCACCAGGACTAGAAACAACCCCCCACTTGGTGCTCCCCCCCGCCAGTGTCCAGGGAGATGGTCAGGAGCGAGACTCTTCTGAATCCCTGGGGAACTGTTTTCTCTGCTGTAGAGTCACCGCGTAAGGTCTTATCTCTCAGTCTGCTCTCAGGGAGCTAATTTCTTCGCTCGGTGCTGCAAAGGTGTTGAAAGTGCTCTGGCAGAGGCTCTGGGCACTGACACGGCTGTTCAGGCTTGGTTTGAAAGTGCTTATCTCTTGGAAGTGCCCACTTGCTATTTCGGTCTCCAAATACCTTGTTGGGCACTTTTCTCTGAAACTGCGGAGGCAGTGCCCGCTGCCCTGGAGCCATCTCCAGCACCTCTCACCGGGCAGGAGAAAGCTATGGGGGTGCCGTGGTTGGTCTGACAGGGACGGGACTGAATTATCACAGTGTGGGCTCCTGCCTCTGCCCTTAGCACAGGGCGCCTCGGCATCGCTGCTGCTGCCGTGATGGGACCCATTGATAGTGTGTCATCAGAGAAATTCCCTAGAAAACAGTTCCTAGACTGCTGGCCCTTGGGTAATTACAGGAGCGAGTAATGAGGGCACGGGGAGCGCACACGGCTGTGCCATGGGGGAGCGCACACGGCTGTGCCATGGGGAGCGCACACGGCTGTGCCATGGTCAGGGCCCTGGGTTGAGGAGCGAGTAATGAGGGCACGGGGAGCGCAGGAGCGACGAGCCGTGGGGAGCGCACACGGCTGTGCCATGGGGGAGCGCACACGGCTGTGCCATGGGGAGCGCACACGGCTGTGCCATGGTCAGGGCCCTGGGTTGTGGGGCTGGAGCCACAGCTCGGGGAGCTCTGAGTGTCGGCGCCGTGTCTCGGTGACTCCTGACGTGGTGTCCCCAGCCCTGTCTCTCGGTGCAGTGACAGAGTTCCAGGGACGGAGAAATGATGACTGAAATATGTTCGAGGCTTTTAAAATTGAGTGTTTCTCCCCGACCCTAAAATACTCCAGTTCCACCCCTGAAAAACGAGCCCTTGAGGGACCTGGGAATCCTGGTGAGGAGGATGCTGAGGGTTCGAACTCACAGGACACGCGTTTCCCTAAATCGATGCAGAATCTTCATCTCCCTTCAGCAGGGTTGGGGTGGCCTCACCCACCAGGCAGTGCTACGGCTAATTGCTGCTTCCAGTCAGTACACAAGCTGAGTTTAGCAGGGTTGCCAAAAAGATGAAAGAAAATTGGGCAGAGTATTTGTCTGTAGCAGCACAAGTTTAATGAAACTGTGTGCTAATAGCCTCACATTTTAATTAAGTGCTTGGGACTTCCTGCGCGTATCCCAAGTGCCTTGTACTGTACTTACCACGCTCGGTGAGTGCTTGGATTTGAATATATGCTCATTAGGATTCCTCGGGGGTGTGAGGTGTGTGGTGGGCCTGGACACGGACAGTCTGCTCCTCGGGTCTGCAAGGGAAGAGTCTCTCCCCTTGGAGCACGGACCCTTCTGCCGAAGGAAGGACTTGCTGCAGGAAGGACCCCTTGGGAGCTGCGGGGGCTTGAGGCGAGATGGGCTGGAGCTGACTCAGCCCTTTCCTGGCCCTTCTAAATGGAAGGGGAGGGGTAACCGGGTGGCTCTGCCCTTCTTTGCTCGGGTCTGGAGTGAAATGTTGGATACTGCTCGGCAGAGGAGGGCGGGCGGCTGCGCCGGGGGCAGCTGTCACCTCCTGCAGGGGCCAGGTCCCCGTTTGGGGGCAGAGGGTACACGTGGATCCCCCTCGCAGCGTTTCATGCCCTGGGGGCTCCCGGGTGGTGTGGGGACCACGGGGGACGTTTCTGTACCTTGGCATGTTGTGTCCTCAGGGGAGGGGGAGCAGCGGGAGGGTGGGGGGATGCTGTAGTGCCCACAGATCATTCTGGGTAATGGCTGGGGAAGAACCGTTTGGATGGTACAGGTTGGAAGAGGTAGATGGGCTCTGGGTTCATCCACACGTACCGACGTCGGCCCCTCCCCATGGCAGGTGCACGTTCAGATGGGTAAGGCTTGGTCTGAAGAAGGAAATAGTGAAATGCTCTGCCCCGTCTCTGACCCCAGACACCGCTCCTGCTCCTGGGACCTGAGAGGGGCAGCTTCTGGTGGGGAGGAAAGGACAAGTTGCATCCTTGCAGGTGGAGGGCAATATTTCAGGTGAAACAAAACAGGAAAAAGCTGCTCAGGAGTTAGACCTTAACTATGTTAATCTGCTTTGTGGCATATAAGTGTAATTAAAATTTGCTTTGGCTCTATAGGATTACAAAATCAATCTAAATAAATACATAAGGTAGTTGTTTGGTTGTGTCAAGACCAAATGAATGGTTCTGGAGGTCTGTGCAGCAATTAGCGAGGATGGCGTTAGTGGATTGGCGGTGTGTGCCAGAACTGGCATATGGAGCTGTTCTCCCAGCCCTTCGCCGTGGCACCGGCCGTGGTGGAGCGGGGCCAGGGCCGGGTGCCTGGCTCCTCAGCCACGTGCCGGATGGAGGGAGCCTGGATGGGCCACGGTTGTGTACTGGGGAGAGGATGAGGCTGAAGGCTCTTGCTGCAGACCCCTTGCAAACCTTTGCGTCTGGTGGGTGGTGTGGGAAGGACTCGCCACCACGTGTGTCCTAAAAACTCAGGAAGAACCAAAGGAGGGGAATGAATCTTTTGACTGCATTGCTCATTTTTATTTGAGTGAGGATGGCTTTGATGAAACTGAGCCTCAAAACCAACCGTAGAAAGACCACTGAACCTTACGGTGAGGATGTGCTCTTGCTGGCACGGTCCAGGGAAGAATGTGGTCTTCCCAGGCTGTCCTGGGCATCTCCCAGTGGTGTGGCCGTGGCACAAGGGGACAGCTCTGCTGGGTGTGGGTCTGAGCACCACCACCCCCCCTTGTTTGCCGGGGCAAGGTCCCTCGCGAGGGGTAAATCTTAATCTGCCAGGATGAGCTTAATGGGTCTGACAGAGAAACTCCCAGTTAGAAGATCTTTTCTTTCTTCCCTCTGAGCTGGTTGTACTTTGAATCAGGCCCCAAACCCTGGCAGTCTGTCTTGTTGGACACTCGAGGGCTTTCGTGTTAAATGTCAGAGGCAGCAAGGAGGGGAGGCGAAGTTGCCGCGGCTGGGAGGGTGTCCTGGAGCTCTGAGCAGAGTGACCGGGCTGATGTGGGACGGGCAGGAGGCGAGCAGTGGGCTGGAGGGGTGCTTTTTGATGTTAATTTTGGAAAAAAGTCAATTTAGGTGCCTTGTGAGGAGGTGAGCACCTCTGTTCGCTCCCTCGGAGAAGTCTGGAAACCCAACTGGGATGGGAGGTGACTGCTCTGGCTGCCTCTGCTCCTCCGGCGCTCGGAATGCCAGAGACGCTAAAAATAGTCCTCTTTCCTCTGGGAAATGGGCTGCTTGGCCTCTGCCCTGGAGGTGGGGGCACTTCACTGGCATTTTAGATTGGTTCACAGAGTCCTCCTGGAAACAAAATAATCATTACAGGAATATGAAATATTTATTAGTCCATTAAAGGTGGAAGGAATTAGAATCTGTGCTCTCAAGCCGCATTACAGGGAAGGAGCTGTTGGGAGCAGGATTTTTAAACGTGTTCCTAACACTGGAAGCTTGCTCTGACCCTCACAGCAGAGTGGTCTTGTTTAAACAAGTGTGTGTGTTCCCTCCCTCTGGCCCGGCCGGGTCCGAGCTCCCTTCATCACGCAGGGACTTCTCAGCCCTGCTCTAATGCTGGCTGCAGTTTCTATGCTAATTTAATCCACTTCAGCCTTTTGGTCATTACTATAATTAGAGTGGCTGCATCACTTTGCAAATCTGTCTGCCATTTAAACTAAACACTCTTCTGAGCTTTGCCTGCTTCTCCGAGGTTTCTCCGTAGCTCTCCTAATTTGTTTTAAGCCATATATGAGAAGGGGAGAGTTCCCGGCCTCGGTGTGGGCAGTGGAGTGAAGCTGCTGGTCAGGGATCCTTAAAAGGTCTTTAAAAACCTGCTTGTATTCCTGCTGCCTGTGAGCCTTTCTGAGGGGCAGTCACAGGCTCCTTAATCAGATGTGATGCATCAAGGAGCCTTCGTGCTGGCCACAGCTCATTACTGGAGGCCGGCTAATTGGGTGGGCAAGGGGTGAGTGGCTCTGGGACCTGTTTGGGCAGGGGCTCAGGGGCTCCCGCTTCCCCAGCTGGGCTCCCAGTTCCTCGTAGCGCCGCTTCCGAGAGTCCCAGCTCCTGAAATGTGAGTGTGTTGCTCAGGGCAGCTCTTCCAAAGGGCCCAAGAGAGGAGCTGGAGGGGAGTTTCTGAGCAGTTCAGTGCAGGAACCGGCAGCAGGAGAAGTGAAGAGCAGTGTCTGCCCCGCCAGAACCACCCTGACCCGACCGTCCTGATCCCCCTGTTCCTCCTCCTCCTCCCAGCTGGCATCCTGCAGAGTTTTCCAGTTTAATGCAAAAGATCCTAGAATGTGGTTCGGGGCACGGTACAGAATCCCAAGAGACAAAGATCAAACCAGCTGATCTGAGATGACATACAGGGGCTGTTTTCATAGCTGAGGGACAACATCTCCTCACTTGGTTCTGTATCATTTATTCTCCACAAACAGAGGATTTAGTTCACATCTCTGAACTGTTCAGTTAGGACTCAAATTTAGAGGAAATGGAGCTATTAGCTGGAACTCCTGCTTTCAACTTGTTCTTGAGACTTAATGCTGTAATTCTCACATTGGTCACTTCATTTCTGAGTTCTCCTTTCCCGCTGCAGAGCGTGTCACTCCCGGGGGATGCAGGATTGGGGGATGCAGGATGCACCGGGCTCTGTGCTGGGGATTCACCTCTCTTGGGTTTTCTGTCATTTACATGTTATGTAGGAAATCATATTCTGCCCCTCTTCAGGTGAATTTCACCTGGTGTAGTCAAAACTCCATTTAGTTTCACTTGTTGATGTCCTGGGTAGGTCAGTCTGTTTCTGATGTTCCGTATTTAAGTTTCAGTGATTTCTCTCAGTGTGGAAAGGCACCATAGCCCTGGCACAGGGTGTTCCTGGGGCCAGTTCCACATCTGGCACAAAGGTAGGTGGCTCCTTGAGGGTAATTCTCTGCCGTTATTTACCAATGGACTAAAATCACTGCCCAGAGAAAACCAACACTTGTCCCTTGTCCCCGTCAGCGGCCAGCGGGTATTTCCGTGGTGTAACGTGGGACTAGTGATTGAAGAGCACACGGGTCCTTCTGTCAGACAGTGAGAGGCGTCCTCTTGGGTGCAGCAGCTGGGACTAATATGGTTTGAAGTGTCTTTAAAATCCATGTGATTCAGAAAATATTAATTTCATTCCATAGTAAGGAAATGGGCTTTTGAAACTTAACTTTTTCCCTTTTCTCTTCCCACAGGGAAATCCAGCTCCTGCGACGATTAAGGCACAAAAATGTTATCCAGTTGGTAGATGTGTTATACAATGAAGAGAAGCAGAAAATATATCCTTTTCTCACACAGTTGTTACTAAGGTTTGAATTCCCGTTGCTCTCTGCTATAGCGCTGAATCATTATAGTTCTGCTTTTGTTAAAGCTCTTTTGAATGTTTCTTAAGCTTAAAATTGCTTTCGCTGGCATTAAACATGCTGCATGTCTGGAATACTTTCCACACGAGTACATTTTCTTAAGTTTCTCAGCTTCCCAGTTAGGGAATGAAATATTGTCCCCAGGTTAGAGATGTGGGGCTGGGCTGGGGCAGAACTGACCCTCAGACCCTGTGTTTATTGTGTGACCTCCGAGATGGAAAAAGAGCTGGGGATCTGCCATTGGTACCCTCCTGGCCCAGCTGTGGTGTGTCTTAGTGCTTTTTCCCCTGAAGATGGACCTTTTATTGTCTCTGTTATGTGAAATCAATTTTTGTAATGCTTATTCCTTTAAGTCCTTGGCAATGGTTTAGGTACTTTTTTTTCTTGCCCTCAAAAGAAGAAAAAATGTACTGGTTCAGCAGCCTCTGGGTGGGGTTCCCCTTCCCTCTGGGGGGTCTGTGCTGCTGCCATTTCTGGGGGCAGTTGCTGTGCTCTGGTTGTCCCTAAGGAGATGAAGTGAGCTCCTGAGCCACCCCTGTCCTGCTGGTGGTGTGAAAGTCCCCTGTGATGGTGCCTTCAGTGACCTAAAGGTCTAATGGTCAGGAGAGACCCACAGGGTGTCGTTCCTGGGAGACCTGCGGCTGCTGGAGCTGAACTGCTCCGTTCTGGGATGGAAGCTGGGCCTCAGGGTCTCAGGGTATTGACTTCAACAAGTTCTTCCAGCGCCCCGTGTCCCTCAGACAGTGACCACACTAATTACAGCTTAACTTCCAGCAGTAGCTGGGTTTCTAATGAGTCTGCCACGCTCGGAGTGCTCTTTGACTCAGACCAGTGTGTGAGTTCATTGAGCTGAGCTGTCGTAGTACGTGTTATAAATGGTTGCTTTTATTTTTGACAGTGTTTTCTAAATACTGTCTTCCAATTACAGCACTTCAGAAAATGGGTAATTTAATTGTGTGCTTTAATTAGATCAAATGCTCCGCCACCAAATCATTAGTATAAAAAAGCATGACAACTTTTGCTTGTGTTTTGTAGCCTTAACAGAGCGAAGGGACTGCAATTCAATTACTCTCTATAGAAAGACAGCATTTAATTAATAAGGAGCTGGGCTGCTGGAGGAGAAGGGGAAACGGAGCCCGAGAGAGACCTCGTGTGTTGGTTCCAGGTGATGACAGCCCAAAACGGGCCTTGGGGAACGTGACCTCTCAGCCCGGGAGGGTGCTCCTTGCGTTGTTTTCTGAGCAGCAGTGGCTGAAAAAGGACAAATTTGGGTTTGGTTCTTTCCCCTTTGAAGTGTAGGTTCACTGTTTCCATGCGCTGGTGTCTGTGTAGTGTGGCTGGGAATGTGACAGCCGCTGGTGAGTGGGTCTGGGAACAGCCCCAGCCCCAGAGGAGCTCTCCCTTGGGCTGTAGGTCATTCCCTTGCCCGTCGCACACGTAGTCGTGCCCGTGTCTGCACTCCTGCCTTGCAGGAAGCGACACAAGGTGGAAGTTGGGTGGGGTGGAGGGGAGGGATGTCAACTTCCCCATTGCTAATCAAAAAAGAAAGTCTTCTTCATTTCCAGAATGACCGTTGTGGCATTTGAAACTGGGGCTGTAGAAGGAAGGATTCTGTTCCCACCTGAGTTCCTGTTGCTGGTAGAAGCGACGCACGGGCTGCAGCTGTTTGGGCAGGTAGAGCTTTAAAACTTCCCTGCCGAGGCAGAGCCTGCAATGATTTTCTTTGGGAAAGGGAAAGCCGTGGTGACTGGATTGAAAATATCAACTCTGTTTAGTATCTAATGGGCTGCTCCAATGACCTGCTGTGGCTGGGAATGCGGAGCTGGTGATGAATGGAGAACTAATCCAGGCAGAAAATAACCCCAGTTCAATAAGCAGCGTCCCAGCTGGCACCTTCTCCAGCAGCTCCTGTCACCAGGCCGTGCTGTGGTGCGTGGGAGCAGAACCCTATTGATCAGAGGAACTGAGACCCTCCCTTGTCTTGGGGCACCTGTAACAGATCTGCTCCAGCCTGGAAGCTCCTTCTCCCAGCTGGCTGCTCTCCCAGGGAGGGAGCAGGCACAAGGGAAGGGGTGACACCAGCCTGGCAGCCAGTGGCCCAAAATCAGGCTGTGCTTTGCAGATCAGCACGAGAGCTGGGCTTTGCTTCCTGGGAGCAGCCCGTGTCGTCGCTGTTAGTGGTTGGTCTCTTGAAGGTGGGAGAGTCGACGTCTTCCCCATCCCTGGGATGTGAGCAGCTCACAGATTTCTTCCCGAGGAAGAAACGGTGGGAATGAATTTTGGGAGCTCTTCCTGCTATTCTTGCTTCTGCTGATTTCCTGGCTGGCATTGTGCCCATCGTAAAGTCTTAGTGTTTTAGCATCCCTCCGAAGGGCGGCTCATGTGGAGAACGTAGCATGAGTTTAATGAGTTTGCAGAGTGTTTTGAGCTCCAGGATAAAATGGGCTGCAAAAAGGCAGCACCATCTCATGCAGATCCTGCTTAAAGCACAGGTCATCCCGTTAGCCTCTCCTGCCTCAGGAGTTAAGATGGCATCCTGGGACATAAGCAACTTATTTTAGGCTTAGGTTAAGAAGGCATCTGCCAGGAATAATTAGAGGGACCACAGAAACACGTAGTGCTGCTGGAAACGTGGCCTGACGGCCCCGCTCCTCTCTGCTGGGGCTGGAAGGTGCACTCCCTTGGCAGAGCCAGCAGATGTCTCAGGGTCTGTTCCTGGCAGCCCCCTCTGGAGCAGAGTCTGCCTGGAAAAGCCGGGATAGAGGAGGGAAACAGGCAGTTACTGCTTTAGGCTGTTGTGTAGTTTCCATTGTTTGGCCCCAGCGTTAAAGGAGATGAAAACTAGAATATGCTGCAAGGGAACAAATGCTGAAAAGTGCCACCAGCTCTTGGCATTCTGCTGTAACTTTTTTTATCCGTGCGGTTTCAGAAAAGCTTTCCAGCTCCCTGGGGATCCTTCCTCCTGCTACTGAAATACTGCCGTGGGGATGGGGCTGTTAAATAGTGCATACTGTTAATGTACTATATTGTTTTGGGACTGAAGTTAGGAATAACAGAAACTTGGGGGGGTGATGGGGACTCACTGTCACGCTGCAGCTGGGGGAACAGGCTGCAGTTCTTCTGGGGGGTTCCAGGCTTTTTGTAGCCACTTCAGAGTATTATCCCATTTCCATCATGTTTGTGAGATCCCCAGCTTAACTCCCATGGAGTTGGCATCCTGTTTCGGGTCTGATCATGGAGTTGCAGCTGGTTATTGAGCAGAAAAACCTTCTGGTGGGTTCTTTGCCCCTGTTGTGGGGCTGGAGGAAGGTGGGTGCCTGGGGAGGAGCAGCCCTGCTCGGGCTCTGCCCCTCTGGTGTGTGATGGCAGGTACCAGTGCCTGGGCCTGAGGAGTGTTTAACCCTGAATCTTCCTTAACTCTGCCTCCACGTATATGGTGATGGAGTACTGTGTGTGCGGGATGCAGGAGATGCTGGACAGTGTCCCAGAAAAGAGGTTTCCGGTGTTTCAGGCTCACGGGTAAGTCCAGTTCTGTTCCTGGGGCTGCTTTAGCCTCTCTGCTGTGCTCTGGGAATTCAAGAGCATGGTCTGCTCTGGTGCTTTGACTGGCTGCATGTTAAACTGGCTTGGTGTAATAACTGCATCTTTCATATCCAGTGAAAAACTACTGAAGTGATGGCAGGGACAGCCCTTAGATTCTGGGAAGAAAAAACATCTTTCTATTGAATTTTCTGTTACTCTTGTTTTGCATCACAAGATCTGTGACAGCCCTTCCAGCCCCTTTCCTGTGTGTGGGGTTGGAATCCCCGAGGACTTGCCCTGTGTGAAGGGAGGCAAGCCCTGTGGGTCGGTGTCAGAGGAGAGATTAACATTTTGGGGTGGATTAGGGATTGGCAGTACCCAGCCTGAGCTGTTGGGCAGCCTGTAGATGGGATCAGCTGCAGCCCCTTTCACTCCACGAGTAAAGGAACCTCAGAGTGCTGGAAATAGCTGCAAGAAGATTGGCACGTATCTCAAATCAGTGCAGACCAGCGAATCTGTGGGAACTACGTCATTTTATGATCATATTTTCATTTTACTTAAAAAAGGTGTCTGAGATCACAGAGCAGGTACTGCTTCTGGATATTATGAGAGAAAAAAACTTGCCTGCGCAGTCGTTGCCGGGCTGTCAGCGCTCGTTACGTTACAGTAATGCCCTGCACGTAGTCTCTGCCCTGAAGTACAGCAAAACACCCCTCCTGGCTGAAGGAAACTCGCTGGGGTAACTTCACTTCGGCTAAAGCAGCGTTAAGGCAGGTCTGTGCCAGCCTGGGGCTCGGCACTTCCAAAATACGGGGAGCTGTGGAGAGGGCTTTGGTGCAGAGCAGCCCTTTGCTGCGGTGGTGGGGACCCTGCTGTGCAGCCCTGGCAGGGAACAGTGGACTTTGGCAGGAGATTAAGTGCCATTTCTAACACCCCACACTTCAATCTCGAGTTCCTCATCCAGTGTAAATGTATTTCTGACTTGTACCCGGTAACCCCATGCTTCATGTTGTCACGGTCTACGGAAGGGCTTGACTTTTTCTCCTCTAACTCTTCCTGCAGGTACTTTTGCCAGCTTATAGACGGCTTGGAATACTTGCACAGCCAAGGGATTGTCCACAAGGATATAAAACCGGGGAACCTCCTGCTAACAACCAATGGGACACTAAAAATATCCGATTTAGGCGTAGCAGAGGTATGTGAGAAGGGCAGCGGAGTCAGGAATGTGGGAAGCCTGACATTCTGGATTTAGGTCTCCTTTGCGGTGCCGGTTGGTTTATTGTGCGTTTAGGCTTTTGCTCTGCAGAGCCCTCTGCAAGTGTAACAGTGACTCTGAATATTTATTGCAATTGGCAAAACACTCCTTGCCAACAGTCCACAGCTTCCATCCGGGAAGTGTTTGGAGGAATTCATCATCTTAGACAAACCCAAAAGTGTGGTGAAAGGGCAATAAACTACGTAACTTTATCCTCTTTGTTACCTGGGGAGTGCCCCAGCTCGGGAGGAGAGGTGCAGGAGTGTCACTGCTGGCGTGTGGTTGCTGTGGTGGCACCTTCTCACGCTGTGTGAGCAGATGTTCAGTAGCAGAGTTTTCCCCTGTTTCCCCAGATGAAACTTTTCTGACAGTTACGATGTGCTGTGAAGGTTTGGAGCTAACGTGTCCCTTGTGCCGCAGGCGCTGCATCCCTTCGCGGAGGACGACACGTGCAGGACGAGCCAGGGGTCGCCAGCATTCCAGCCGCCCGAAATCGCCAACGGCCTGGACACCTTTTCAGGCTTTAAAGTAGACATCTGGTCCGCGGGGGTCACGCTGTAAGTGCCCGTCCGGGTGTTGTCATTGCAGAGCTTAACCCCCCAGATAGCTCAGTCCTGTCTGTCTGCTGCCATCCCTGCCCTGCGGGGGGGTGTGGGGGGAGCGGGGAGGTGTGGGGGTGCCTTGGTCCCCCCTTTGGATGGGGGAGTGTTCCCCGAAGTGGCTGTAATTCTGCAGAAGGTAATCTTTACTCCCAGTGCGTATCTGCCAGCCCCTTCCCAGCATCAGAGACGCGCAGCTGCTGCAAGAATAGAAACCACAAGTATCTCTAGTATTTATTTTTAAGTTTCCTCCATCCCAGCCCGTCGGGGAGGTGTCATGGTGGTTTTGACTCATGTGAATGAAGAGGCTGTGATAAAGGAGGGCTAAGTTTAAAGAGGCTTTCCAAATCCTGTCAAATATTCATCTTTTATTTTCCTCTTGGCTGCTTTAGGTTTATGTACTCACGTAAGAGCTGAGCCCCCGTTCTGTGTGCGTTTCCTCATTCGGCTTCTCCTTCTGCCTTCACAGATACAACATTACGACGGGTCTGTACCCCTTTGAAGGGGATAATATCTATAAATTATTTGAAAACATCGGGAAAGGTGACTACACAATTCCAGAGGATTGTGGTCCTCCGCTCTCAGACTTATTGAGAGGTGAGTCTCCCAAGGGACCCCAAAAGTGCAGGTGATATCTGTGGGTGCAGCACGTGCTCAGCTGGTGTGGTGCCGGGGAGAGCTTCACTCCGTGTCCTGGGGGGTACAGGGTCCCAGAGAAAGGGGGCTTCTGCTGGTGAACCCTGTGGCCAGACCTTGAGAATTCTTAAACACTGATGTTTTCCTAAGATACACTAGACCCTGAAGCAGTCACTAGTCCATAGAATTGGTTCTTACATGATGATCCTTCTGCTCTGGGAAGCTTTTAAACCCAAAGACAAAGCCCACAAGAGGCTAAATTTAAAATGGCATCAGAGCACTGATGTGGTTTTGCAAGTGAGAACACTCAGTTAAATTTCTTGCCCAAGCTTTCTGTAACATGAAGTACTAGTCCTCAGGTTCTGCTGTCCTTCCTCATCAGGTTCTGCTGTCCTTCCTCATCAGGTTCTGCTGTCCTTCCTCATCAGCCTCTGCTCAGAACTTATTCCCTTCGTTCCCTGTCGTCATCTCCTTCCCCCCCAATTTCAAGTTGCCAAGGGTATTGGGGCAAAGTGACGAGGCTGTGCTGGAGCTGGGGTGGTGCTTTCGGGGTGGCAGGAGAGGGCTGTGGGTTTTGTCTGGGTTTTTGTGTTCCTGTCACTGCAGCAGTTTGAGGTTTAGCGCTGAGCAGCCTCTCCCTTTGGAAGCTGGATGGGAGGGCAGTGGTTCTGGTGACCATCCCCTGGTGATGCCCGTCGGGCAGCACAGAGGATGTGATTCCAGCAGGTGGGATCCTGCCCGAGCTCTGCCCCACGGCTGCGGTGGGGGCTCCCCAGCCCAATGCTCGGGCTCACCCTTGACTTCAGCCCTCTGTAAAGGTCACGCCTCAAACGCGAAATGACGTTCCCTTCTTTCAGGTTTATTTTTGTGGCTCTTGTGCTGTGCAGGGTGGGAGGTCAGTGTGGTCAGGCTGCTGGGAGCAGGGGGGGCTGTGTGTGGTGCTGTGTCCCCCCCGTGGTGCTGGTGCCGTTTGTGGCCAGCCAAAAAAAAAGGTTAACAATTTCGAAGCATTTTACGGCTGCGCTCTGTGCCTCAAAGGACAGCGGGCTGTGCCTCGCAGGAAAGGTTGCGCTGCCCACGGGGAGCGTGAGCCCCAGCCTGTGCTGTGGGTCACGGCCCCGTGTGGGGGTGCTGGGGACGGGGGTGTCCCCCCTCGGGGGCAGCAGATGGTGCTGTGTGTCCAACCTCCGCCTCTGCGGGGGCTCCTATGGCCCCGGGGGCTGCTGCACCCCTGACAGCCTGCCTGGGGGGAGCTGGTTTGGTTTGGGTTGTCTGGCCCCATGCCAGTTCTGAAATGAGCTATTTCCATGTGTTTTTATGCCAGTTCTGAAATGAGCTATTTCCATGTTTTTTTTAAAAAAAAGCATTAACAACCTTTAACAGCTTTGGGAAAGGCAAAGCCTCAAACTGTGGGTGGCACAGCCCTGGGGTCAGGATGAGCACGGGCTGCCAGGCAAAGCCTCAAACTGTGGGTGGCACAGCTGGCACAACCCCGGGGGTGGGATGAGCACGGGCTGCACTCCGTGTTGGACCCTGGGGAAAAGCAGTGTGACCATTGTTACTCTTTGCTTGTCCTGAGGATATTGGTAGCTTAAAAATCTTACACTTCACCAGCAGAGTAACTCCCTCTTTAGTTCTTTCCATCCCCTGGATGAGACCTGGAGTCAGAATCTCCCACTCTTCCTTCTGCCCCATTTTAAAGGGAGGAGCCTCATACCTGATGCCCTTTGTCCAAGGCTGTCCACCTCTTCCTTCATCCAGCCTGCTGGCTGCCTTCATCCCTCTTGCTCTGAACCCTGCAGAGATGCAAGTGGAGCTGTTTTCCCGGCAGAGGAGCTTGCTGGGGGGAGATGTCTGTGTTTCTCTCAAATTAACCCTTTCTTCCAGGGTGGTGGGAGGCCCTGAGGATTCCTCTTGCTGTTCTCCCTCCATCTCACCTGAGAGCCCTCTCCCACCCCTCATCTTGTGGGATGCAGCCATTGCACAGTAAAAGCTGGTGAAACATCCTGATGCTGTCCTTGTTTGGCCTGACACACTTTACTTTTTCTGGCAGTTGGAGCACCCGGGGGACCTGTGGGGACTGAGTTACAGCCCCAGCCCCTCCATGCTGGGGGCGCTGAGCATCTCTCCAGCCTGCTGCAGGCGAGGGCCAGGCCCTGCGGAGGGGACACCGCGTAGCCATGGTGACATACCCCGAATGCTTTATTTAGTTCATGTTTTTCCTCCAGAACATCTGCATTTCCTGGTAGGTGCCTGCTCCTTCTGCAGAGGCTGAAGCTGAATCACGAGCCAGCGGATCAGAGACCGTGAATGGCTGGTGCTTTGGTTCCTGCAGCTCGGCTCTGTCTCTCCAGGGACGTCGTTCTGCCTTTGTGGGGCTTTTAAGAGACTCTGGGAGCACTCTGCGGTGCTGCAGGCGTTTGTGCTGGGTGTATTGTGAGGAAGGGCTCAGTGTGCTGCAGAGTGCTCGTTTCCTCTCCGGCTGTAAGTGCTGGGCTGATCACAGCCCTGGCCTGGCTGCGGGGCGAGCACACAATACGCTTCTAAAGGGTTTTTCTGTTCTTCTGTTGACTGCTTTTTCTAGTGGTTTTTTACCCACCCCCCCAAGCTTGTTTTCATTTCTTTGTTCCTCTTTCCAGATGAGGCAGAATTTAGAGGACTGAAAGCTTCTGTGATATTTGGCTGATAAAGAGACTTACATGAACAGTGTATTTCAACAGATTAGTTGGGATGCTGCTCCTCTTGTCTCCCTAATCAGGGATGAAGCTTTATTTATACTCTTCCCTGGGTAGAAAAGAGAAGGTCTAGTGCTCTTCTGGCTTCTGTACCCGCAGTCAGGAAAGATGTGTCAGAGTGGACGCATTTATAAATAGCCGAGAGGTTCTTGTGTCACCATCTGCACATGACTTATCAACTTGTGTGCAGTTTGCTTCTGGACAAGAAAAACTCACCAGCTGAGCTTTCCTTTCTCCTTTTTGAATACACTTTTACTGAAAGAGAAAGCTCTGAGGCTGCAGCCCCTGCGGGAAGCATCTGGATTTATTTCCAGGCTCCGCCACAGGCCTTATGGCCAAGTTGGCTGTTTCTCAGCATTTTGTTGTCTCAGTTCTGTAGAACTGCCCTGACCTCTTGCTGCAGAGGATTTTGTCCCGAGGACGGTGGGAGGCTTTGATTCTGTGGTCGCAGGGAGTCCCCGGGCTGGTGTCTGTACCCGGCCTTTGGCAAGTCCTGCGTGTGCTCCGTCCCGGGTGGAGGTTTGCCTGCAGAGGGAGATCGTGGTCAGAACGGCTGGCTCTGCCTGGGGAGGATGAAGGAGAGGGAGAACGTCCTGTCTCATTTTGCAAATTGCATTTACACTGCCTTTATATCGGTTGCTTTAAATGTTGATAGGAGTTGGAGACTGAAGTGAAATCCAGGCTGAGGCCGCTGGCTCCTGCTGTTCGGTTCCTTCCTGCTCCTCAAACCACACACCTGAAGGTGCTGTCTGTGAACAGCCAGGGATGGTGTCACACGTGTGACCGGTGTGTGCTGAGGCGTGTGGAAGTGTGTGGGCTGGAGGCTGGAAGGAGCTCAAGCCAGGCTCGTGCTCTCTGGTTTCCAGATTACCCCTTGCCACGATTTGGGAGAGTTGGGGAGTGCCGACGTGCCGTAAGGGGCACAACATCCCCTGCCCGGGCACGGCGAGTCCCTCGGAAGTGCCCCAGAGCAGAGGTTGGGATGGGGTGTCCTGCTGAAGCATCTGCCTCTCCCAGCGCCTGGTCTGTGCCGCACATAAACTGCGTGAGCTCTTTACCCTAAATGGCAGAGGGAGCCTGGGCTGCCCTGGGCAGGCTCCGCGCTGGCTGGGGAACGGTCCGGGATGTTTCTGTCTCAGAGCAGGGCTCCAGCCTGGGAGCTGCCGGCGGTGACTCACGCAGCTCAGCGCATGAGCGTGTGTCTTCGGCGAGTGGACTGCCCATTTTCTTCCAGACGTTGCCCAAAATATGGTCCTTTTTCATCGAAGTAAATATTCTTTTTGCTCAATTATCTTCCTTATGCCTTTTTAATTGCCTTGAGAGCTGAGCAGCTCTGCACCATGGCTCTTTGTAACCGGTGCTGTTAGGCCTCTTCATAATTTACCTCAGAACTTCATCTTCTGCTTGTACCAGTTTCACCCGGTAAATGCCGTAAATTTCTTCGTTAGCCTTGTTGTTCCTCAAACAGTGCTCGAGTTACTGCCTGTTTCTTGTTTCCAATGGTCAGAGCAAGCTGCTCAGGAGGGTGTCGTGGCTCCTCCTCTGCAGCCCCCGCTGACGTTGATCCCAAAATGCCCCCTGTGCTTCACAGCTCTGGGAAGAGCTTCTGGCTGGACCTGCCTGGATGTGCAAAAGTTTATCCTGAACTTGAAAGCTGGATTCCAAAATCACCTGGAAATGTGGTCTTTAAAGAAACTGGGGGCTGGGGGGTGTCCTGACTGACCCGTTTGTGGTTCCATTAATGAGCTCACGCAGCCAGCGCCTGCTCTGCTGTCCCCTGGACTCCAGGCAGGATCTCTTTGCAGTCCTATTCCTTTAAAGGAAAAAAAAAAAGCCAACACATTTGGGCAGCTCAGCTGTGAAACTACTCTCTAATAATCTTATTAATAGGTCATTTAATTAGGTGTGGGATTTTTTATTTCTCTGAGCCACCTTCCCAACTTGTTTTCCAATTATTACTTCTTTTCTTGTAAGGTGAGGAGAAATTATGCCTGAAAGTGAGAAAACCCCTTTCCCGTGGGGGCAGTTGAGCTGGGACAGGTTGCAGGGGGGGTTGGAGAGTTTCCGTCCTCAGACACATTTGAGACCCAACTGGACTCTGAGCTGACCCTGCTCAGAGCAAGGGGTGGGCTCCAGAGGTCCCCTCCAGCCTCAGCTCCGTGACCCCAAGAAGGCTGCAGGGTTGGCCACGAACACGTGTTGGGGTGCAGAGCAAAGGAGGGACACACATTGTGAGGACTCTTGTTGTGGAGATGGCCCTGATAAAGGCTGTGTTCAGTGATAAACCAACAGTCATTTTCTGTAGCTGTAAGGGAGTTTTTCGTGGTACTCGCTGCCGAAAGGAGGGCTTTCTCCAGTGGCAGTTCACTGGCAATGGCCTCTGCCACAGCTGGCTGGGGCTGCAGCTGCAGCTGGGGCTCCTCGTTTGCAGGGCTTTGGCCTGTCCCGGGCAGAAGGTACCAGAGATCAGGACCCACTCGAGGTCTGGAGCTCGTGAGCAGGGGGAGCTGTACTGTAGCTCCTGCTGAGCTCAGCCCCTGTGGCTCCAGCAGAGGAGGATGGTGGTTTTCATGGTCTCGACGAGGCAAGTCTGAGTTTCCGGTGTGCTCTGTCTGAAGGGCTCTGGGGAGTTGGGCTCTGAAGGCTCCGGTGCCTCGAGTTCACGAGGGCAGATGCCTGTGATGCACTTGACCTTCTCTAACCTGGAGGGGTCTCCCCATGTTCCTCTAACCTGCTCCACAGGGTGTAACGTGGGGCAGCAGTGACCCCCTCGGCCCTAGATAGACCCTGTCAGCAGGGATAAACCTTTCTGAATTGCCATGGGAAACTGTAGTTTGGTTTCTAGGGGGGAAATAACCTCAGTCCTTCCGTGCTGTACCTCTTCTTTGCCTGGATTCCTTCCTGTTAGTGATGTGATCCAAACCAAACCGACAGGGAAGATGTTCCAGATCAGCTTTTGTTACGGCGTGTGCTGGTGGTGATTGATCTCCTCCGTCACGTCTGGTCACTGCAGAACCTCATCTGTGAGGGCCTCGTGACTTCTTACCTGAACTCCAGTGTCCCTTTCCAGCCCTCCCTTCTGAAGGCTCCATCCAGATGGATCTCACATTCCTTGTGTTTTCCCTGTGTCCTCGTGCTGCTCTCCCCGGTGCTCTGTGCTGTTTGCTCCTCTCCTGACTTTCTGAACTCCTCTTGACAGGCTGTTCTGCCTCCCGGCCTTTCTTCTGGCTGGTGGCAAGGGGCAGGGTCCTCCTCTGCTCTTACCTCTTACCAAAACCTCACTCTTGGTGCTACCTGTGCAGGAGCAGCAAAGGGGGATCATCCAGGGAAAACAAAACTCCTGGTAACCCAGAGTGGGACTTTGTTCACGTTCATTAGATGAGTATGTTCTTGGAACCTTCCCTGAAGAGTGTCTTGGATGCTGCTGGCTGAGGCTCATTAGGTCCCGTTGGCGAGTTTCTGAAGAATCTGACAAGATGAGTATGTTCTTGGAACCTTCCCTGAAGAGTGTCTTGGGTGCTGCTGGCTGAGGCTCGTTATGTCCCGTTCACGAGTTTCTGAAGAATCTGACCAAATTTGCTCCTTCCCTTCTGTTGTCAAGCTTTGTAACAAGCGTGGAGCAGAGCGGGCACCTCCTGAGTCTGTTGGAGGAAACTTTCCCTCTTCTCACCCCGACCCTGGTTGATGATGCCTGAAATCAAACCCCTGGCGAGGGCAGAAGGACGGACAGTAGAGTTATTTTTTATCAGATCTCCCCAGCTGTACTTCCAGAATGGAATTCCACTCGACCAGAGTTTCTGGGGTGCTGAGCTCCTGGATATACGCCGTGCCCAAGGCTTTGGCTCTTCTGTGGAGGAAGCTCAATAGCATTATCTGTGAAATGCAAAGTCTTGATGCTCTTTGCCCAGAGACACACTTGGACGCACGATCCAGGGCTGTCCCAGCCTCTGTCCCTGCAGTGGGAAGGAGGAAAAGGTCTGTGGGTGGGGACACTGAGGCACAGACCTGACCAAGACCATCAGCAATGGGGCCGGGGGTTTGGGCTGAGCTTCCCGGGAGCGATGCAGCAGGTTCTTCCTGGAGGTAACGGCTCCCGAAGCTGCTGCCAGGACTGGACACACCAGTGGCTGCTGGGGGTGGGAGGAGGGAGGGAGGGGTAGAGCTTTGTGCTTCCTGGCTTCAGCTGGGCTGAGAGCATCTGTGATCACACCTGGACTGTTTTTTTTTTTCCTTCTTTTCAGGGATGCTTGAATATGACCCAGCCAAGAGATTTTCAATACAGCAGATAAGGCAGCACAAGTGAGTGTTCGGCTTCTTCCTATTAGTCATTCTCTTTGTGCTTCTCATGCTAATGTACCTGTGCTATTGCTCTCAACTCCTCTTTCCTTTTGACAGCAGACACATGGAAGTCACTAGATCTCCTTCCTCCAGCGCTGCTGGAGCTCTGGCAACCTCGACTTGGCTTTTTTCCTCCTATTAGAGCATCCGGTTGAAGCATTTGAATTGCTAACCGGTAAATAATGAATATGTTGAAAATATGTTTCTAGCGTGACTGGTTCTGGATAATTAAGGGTTCTGGCTAATTTTTTCAGAGGTCAGCTGGTACTAATGGAGCAGAAGAACAGGGGTTCCTTGAAGCTGGGTTATTGAAGTAGGACTGTTTGGTAACGTGTGTTAGTTCTGGTTTTCTGTACAGTCTGGTGACAGAAATATCCCTTGGCATTTGCTCCATATGGAATCAGTATGTGGAGAAGCGTTCCAGGACAATAGGAAATATTTTTTTTTTCTTTCTCTTTAATGTCATACTCCTCCCTCCCCCATATCCTCCCCCTTTATCCTTGCCATTGTCGGGGGGGGGGGGGGCAAAGGCCCCGTTATCTCTGAGGGTTATGTTTTTTAAAGGATCTGTTTGAACATGCTGCCTCCGAGCAGAGATTTCCTGGGCGGATAAAAGTACAAGAACAAAAAGCATCATAAGGATGCTTCGTCGCGGAGGCTGCATTAGCTTATCTGCTGTTTGCATGGGAAGTGCTTCTGAGGACACGGGGGCTGCGGCTGGACCCCAGCTGCTCCGCACGCCCTGCCCGCCCAGCAGCTCGGGGCAGCCTCGACAAGAGGGGGCTCTGATGCTGAAGGTGGTGGCCCTGCTTTGTGCTGCCCCGCAGGCAGGAAGAGCACTATTTTCTTGTCGTATCTCTGGAAAAGAGCCGCCCTGTGCTGTCGGACGGTGGTCCCTGGTAGATGTTCTGGTGCAGGAGGCATCTTCAGGAGCCACCAAACCAAACCTGCTGGGCTGGAACTGCACTGGAGCTCTGTGGGGAGCAGCCACCACCTACCCCTGGCACAGATCAAAGAGGCCGGGGAGGCAGGGCTCATGTAGCTGCCTGGTCAATTAATTAAGCAGTCAGGCTGGCTCTTCTCATGGCAGCCAAGCCCTGTGCATTGGTGGTTCCACTGGCTCTGGGAGAGGATAGGAGCAGGCGTTTGCAGCCCCTCATTCCCCATGCACATGCCTCCTGGTAACACTGGCTCAGGGCTGGCATCTAAACACTGCCTGGCATTAAAGCACAGCATAGAGCTGGTCCCCGAAACAAGGGCTCCTGCTGTTACCCCCTGTCCTCCCCTCTGCCAGGGGGCACTCAGGCTTCAAGCTGGAGAGGGAAGCACCATCTGCTTTTGTCCATCGTGGGGTGGGGGTCAGTCCCCCACACAGGCAAACCCATGCTTTGCAGTAAGTGCTATAAAGAATCATGGCAGGAGTTAAGTCTATGGTGTTGAGAAAAGCACTGACAACACTTTCTTTCCTCTGGATGCTGAGGGTCCAAAGGCTGCAGTGACCTGCCCCAAAGCTCAGGGAAGTGGTGTTGGTTCATTGGTTCTCTCTCCCACTATCTGCTGGGTATTTGAGCTCCTTACCCCATTCTGTACACTTGATTTTATATTTCTCCCATGTGGCAGCGAGTTTTTGCGTCAGCTTTGCCCAGATGGAAGCAGAGAGGTTTCTCTGGAGACCCTGCCCATCATTAGAAAGCAGGAGAAACTGGAGCACCCTTGTGGCACGGGGTGTGATCACCAGTCCCTGGGCATGGTCGCTGGGCACAGTCACTGGTGCTGAGGCTTTTTATCCCAGAGCACAGAGAGGGGCTGGAGAATGGCTCTACCTGTGAGCACAGGAGCATTCCCAAGGCTTAGTCTCTTCTTAGTTTGCTGTGAGCTTAGCCAGTGCTTCTTAACAGGCTTTTCTCCCCTCTTAGTAATTGCCTCCTTCCTCCTGCTGTGCTATCCTAATAATTACATCAAGCACAGCAGAGCCCTCAGCCTTGGGCTTTGGATGTGTCTGTCCATCTCCTCTCTGCGCAGGAGCATTGTGCTAAAGAATCCAGTGTTTGCTTCTCCTGGCTGTTCTTTAAATAGCAGAGCAGCTCAGCCCTTATGCGCAACCTGACCCTGATTTTTTTTTTTTTTTTTTTTTTCAAAATTGAACAAAGCAATGGGAAGGACAGCAGGTAGCCGTTCAGGTATTGTCAGAGGGTTTTTTAGAAAGCATTTCAGTAAGAAAAGAGTTGATTTCTAGCATCCTTAGATTTCTAGTGTGTGGGGGAGTAATAGACATTAATGATTTAGGGTTTCTCTATGCTCCTCCCACAAAAGCCTGTGCTCAGGCACAGGAACTGGGCTTCGGAGGCATCAAGTGACTTCCCTGGGCCACCCTGCTAAGCGGGGCACGGCCCCAAACCAGGCTCACCTGGTGCCCTTCCATGCAGCTGGAAGTCTCCTTTCATGTCTTGGAGCTGCTGTTACCGGTGACTTGCTCATGTGGACAGTTGAGAGTATCCAAGTTGCATCAAAGTCATGTTTCTGGACTCTGTTTTCATCCAGCTGGACACAGCTACGTTCTCTTCTCTTGCTTCCAGAGGCTTTTCAGACTTAGTCAATCCTGGGAGCTGTAAGTGGAAATGAATTAAAACTCTCTTAGCCCATCATCCAAGAGGTAGGAACTGCCAGAAGCCACCCTGAGTACCAGTGGCAGAGCCTTGGAGCCTGCTCTTCCCAGAAGGCTCTGGATGGGACGATGGTCAATGGAAAACTGGCACTTTCACAGATCACCTCAGTGAATATTTGGTGCTCCTGGGGTCAGGGCAGTGAAGAAAAGCTGCCAGGAGCCAGGGAGTTCCCAGCCTGCTCCCCACAGCTTATTCACCGTCTCCTCTACCCCGTGCTTGCTGAAGGGCTCAATGCTCCTACACTGCATTTTGTAACTAATTCACTGACCCCGCTGCAGCACTTAAAGTGATGAAGTGGATGCAGAATTCTACCTCTGTCCCTTGTTTCCAAGGCAACCATCTTGCCTTCCTTCTCCAGGAGTGTCACACTTAATTTGTGCAGTCATAGATACCATTGCAAGGGTTTAGAGCAAGACAAGGGAAGGCACTTCCACCTTTTATTAGTGGAGGTGCAAGTTAACCTGCTGGGGCTCGTGTCTCACGCTGACTGTGCCACCGTCCTGGGTGCTCTTGTCCTCCCGAGGGTAGTTCTTGGGTGCTCTGCCACGGAGCCTGTGGAAATCTGGGTGTGTATCACTGAAGATCCTTTGTGGGTGCTGGGGCTGCTCCTCAGCTTCCCTGCCCGAATTTGAGGGAGCAGGAGGGGTTCCCCATAACCTCTGCTGTGGTGTGTGATGGGCTTTTCCTGTCCCTGGTGTCCTGCAGTGACCCAATGGGACACGCACAAGACCTCTCCTCCTCTCCTTTCTTGCCCAGGCCCTGGCTCTGCCTTCCTTCCCCAGGGCAGGCACAAGGGAGGACCTTTGGTTCTTTACTCACATTCTGCAAATGGATTTCATGCTGCAGCTGTGTGGTGTGTGAATGTGTCTCCATTCCTGCACAGAGCCCCCTCCTCCTCGGAGTCTGAACGGTGACCTCTGCCCTGGCATCAGCACGGGGGAAAACTGCAGCTCTTACTCATTTCTATTTTTTTATGACTCTGACTTCAGAACTTGGCCATCTCTTGATGTCACCAGAGCTGGAGCAGGGACGCCGCTGCCTGTTTACTGTGTTGCCTGTCCCCAGGGCAGGCTGTTGTGTGCCTTCCACGTCTGGCTGTGGGAGGACTGAAGGGAACCAAAGCGCTGTTGGTCACTTCTCGGGGTGACAGTGACCTTCCAGTAAGCTGGGAGCCCTGCCGTGGTGCCCTGGGAGGTGGAGGATCGTTCAGAACCGACCCTTTCTGGCAGGGTGGGAATCTGCAGCTTGGCATCTGGCTTCAGAGAAAATTGTCCACGTACCAAACAAGTGAAGTGCAATATTTGTGACCTAGAATGGGAAGTGAATTAGCTGTGAGTGTTTGGAAGCTGCAGCTGTGCTTACTGAGTCTTATTTTAACCTTGCTTATCCCAGAACTTAAAAAGAGCAGAGTGATGACTTCTGATGTAAGATTCAAGCGTGGAAGCTCAAACCAGACGGGCTCATTAAGCATCGCTCGACCCAGATTCCTCTTTTCATCCAGTCCTTGACCCTTGCTGTCTTATCTCCCCGAAGATTATAGCGACCCGTCTGGATACCACTTCTTAACTGGCAGGAGCACAATCAATGCTTGTGCTGCTGCTGTCTGGGGTTTGGGCTTCATAGACATTCTCCACGAGCTCGTGAAGCAATAAGAAATGATCTCCTTAGTGCTGCTCCCCTCGTTCCTTCTCACAGGGCTGGGAGTGGTGAAGAAATGTTCCCCAGACCAGGGAGGAATCTGCTCTTCCCGGGATGTTCTGTACCAGGGACGCTTTTGAGCTCAGCCTGTGTTTCAGGGTGAGGAGGGACCTTCTCCTCTGCATCGCCGGGGGAGAGTAACTGCTTCTTGGCTTAGTCAGCGGCCAGCGGCCTCTGGAGCCAGAGGAGGGTGTTGGCTGGAGCCCGTGGTCCTCAGCTGAGGAGCAAATCTTCTCTAAGACCATTTAGCACCAGTGTAGAAAGCAGAATCTCTGTCCCTGCTGGAAAATTGCTTGCCAGGAAATACTCTGCTACTCCATAAAGAATTGCTCGAGGCTCCTTCCAAGAGGTCTTTGATTTTCTTAGAACTTCAATGAATTTCTCTTCTCACTCTGTATCCTCATTACCATATATGCATATGCAAGTATTTGAAATCACCTCCCAGAGGATAGAATCATTATGACTAGAGTACAGTGATTCAGGTTTCTGCTGCTAATAAAAACCTATTTTTACTCTCCTGTTAAGTAGGACAGAAGGAAAGACAGAGGCAGAGCTGAAATACAGCAAAATAAAAACACCAGTTGCTGTCGATTTCCAGGCTTTCTCCCTTTAAAACACTCCTTTTGCTGGCAGTCCTTCTGAGCTCGTTGCTCCTCTATGTTCCTTAGGTTCCTGGCATGTAGTTTGGATCCTTCCAGCTCCGGTGCCCCTGGCAAAAACAGCTGGTGGCTGCTGGGTCCCTGCTCTGTGCTGGAGGATCCTGCCGGGCGGGATCAGCCCGGGCTGAACTTGCCATCTTGGCAGCCGCTTCCTCGGTGAAAGCAGACTCCCCAGGAGAGGAAATCAAATGATTGAATTAGGAGCTCTGTGTGCCATGCACATCCCTGAGGAAGCCACCCACAGGCCTTGCTGGAACCGTTGGCCAAAATCTAGTTATGTGGGCCCTGCTCAGCTCCTGCGGCACCTGGGCTGGCCTTTCCCTTGCCTCGTGTGGTGCCGCTGCAGGAACCCGAGCTCGTACCTGACAAATGAGATCTCTGTTCCCCTCCCTAAAATACACTGCTCTCCCAGCAGCTTCCAGCGCAGCTGTGGTGTGACCATGAAGGAGATGCCCGTGGCTCAGCAGCAGCTGGGACTGGGACGTGCCACCTGGGAGCTGTCTGGGGTCTTGTCCTTCCCCCAGACCCTCAGCAGGGGAGGAGGGACGTGGTCCCGCTCGTGTGCTCTGGGATTAATCGAAACAGGGTTTCTTTGAAAACTTACAGGGACTCCTTCCCTCTGCACTCCTGAGGCGGGCGAGATGCCGTCTGTCTCGGAGCAGAGCCTGGCTTCAACCTCGGTCACTACAGGGAAAGCAGTTTTTAAAGACACTAATTGTGGAGCAGGGTTTCTGGAGAAAGGTTCCCTCCTCCTCTGAATCCCAGCTCATCTGTCCCAGGAGCTCCATGTTCACTTGTTTATCTCCAAACTCCTTGCTTGTGCTGGGTGGTTTTGTTAGAATGCCACTTTTTTTTTTTCCCTTGGCCCTGCTGTCAAAGCAATGTAAGACTAGAGCAAAATTCTAATTACAGTTCTGCAGTGCAGGAGGTGCATCCAACCCGTGCTTCCTAAAATGAATTTGGAAGGGGAGTGATGAAGCCCAGATGGCCGAGGTCTGTACGAGCTCTGGCTGCGGGCCCTGCTCGTGGCCACCGGCAGCTCCCGGGGCCTGCGGAGCCGGGGCCCTGTGTCACACCGGGCTCGTCTGGGGCAGCAGCTCCTCGGGCCACCCTGTGAATACACCAGGAGGGGACAATTTCAGGTCTTGCTCTGCTTTTGGGGGGTGTTTTCAGAGAGACCTTAAGCCATTTCCTAACACAGCACCCATTCATAGCCTCAAGTGAACTGTGAAAGCAGGAAAAAAGTGTAGACTTCCCAGGCTGTGAGAGACTCAGAACGTCCCTGTGTGCGGGGAAGTGCCATCTCGTAATGCTTGGCTGGGTGAGCACAAGAGCAAAGTTGATTTGTGAGGCTTTTCTCTGTCGCTGTGTGAAACCCAGGAGGAATCGGTCCCGGAGCCTGACACCCAGCCCGTGGGGGGGAGATGGGGGGTTGATACCGGTGCCAGTTCCAAGGTTTATCGGGAAAGCAGGCTGCGGTTCAGGAGATGGTCCCAAACGTGGGGGGGTTGATGTTTTCTGACCCTTTCTTTGTGTAGATGGAGTGCCTCTGGGACAGGCTCCCTGGGCACCCCCTGCCAAAGCCAGCAGAGACCTCCAGTTATCGGGGAGGGAGCGACTGGGTGGCCATGGCCCAACCTCGTCGTTTGCCGGCCACAGACGGCAGCTCTTCCCACTGTGGACCTTTGCAGGGAGAGCACGGAGCAGCAGGAGGTGCTGGGGCTGGAATGGTGCGTTACAAGTCCCTGGGGCTGGGGGACCTTCTGTCCCCACCGGCATTCAGAGGATCCCTGGGGGTGTGGAGGCTCCAGCAGTACTTCTGGGGAAGCTTCGGTGCCCACCCGCAGCGCTGATAGACATCCCAGAGAGAGCCTGGAGCTGGAACCCTGCTCTGAAAGTACCAGGAGAGTATCAGAGGCCACCCATCTGGCTGCTGAGACACTGATGTGACACGAGCCTGTCGGATTCTCAATCCGATTAAGAACAGCTTTCAGAGCTGATATCTGTTACTGGGCAGATGGCAGCACCATGACTGCTGGTTTGAAAGGGAATAGAAGTCCCTTCCCACAGTGGTGGGATAAAAAGACACAGTGTAAGCGTTTTTTTCTGTGGTGGTGTTAAAAACTGCCTGTTAAAGGAGTTTGTGAGTAAACACTCTCCTTAAACTGACATTCTGTGAACTTTTTCTGGTCTCGTTGCGCTGGATTAGCCTTGGCTTGAGCATGGGAGAAGCTTCTCCTCCTCTGGTGGCTTTGACAAGCTCTGGCAGCTCTGCTGGTGTGTTTTGAGCCAGGGGTAGGTAGTTTGGGCTGGAGTTGGCGATGGAGAGAACATTCCTGCTCTGTTCCCAGCCCTGGGGTGTCCAGTTCCCTCACAGCCAGGTAGGGATGTTGGTTCCCCCTCAGATGACAAAGCCCCCAGTGGATGGAGCACCTCGTGGCCTGGTGACCCGGCTGCTGGTGTCCCTGCAGCGTTGTCATCAGACAGACCTCCCTTTCCTGGTTATTACACATTAAAAATCCTGCAGTGGCATAAAGCTGGCTGGGAGGTTTGCCATAAACAAACTGAACGAACCTTTGAAGATTGGGGTGGAATGGGAGTGTCTTGCAGTGTCAAGGGTTTCCCTGTGCCCTCTGAGAAGCCAAGCTGGGCTGATGAGACTCTGCTCTCGACTTTTGCAGTTGGTTTCGTAAGAAACACGCTCAGGCAGAGGCTCTGGTGCCCATCCCTCCCAGCCCCGAGACGAAGGACCGGTGGAGGAGCATGACGGCGGTGCCTTATCTGGAAGATCTGCATGGCTACAACGAGGAAGAAGATGACGACTTGTATGACATTGAAGATGATATCATCTACACTCAGGACTTCACAGTACCAGGTAGGAGAGGAGGATGCTGGGACAGGGAGGGCAGAAGTGGTGCTTTTTCTTTTGTCTGTTTAAAGCTTTTTAGGAAAGGCCTCGAGGTCTGAGTAACCCTTTTGGAGAGTGTTGATTGTGTGGTGGTGTGAGCGAGCCGTGGTGCTCCGGATGCTGCGGTCCTTGATTCGATCACCCAGAGGGTGCCTCAGGGGCCGATTTCCTGCCTTCCCCCGGTGCCGGCTCCCGCTCCTGCTCCTGCTGCTCAGCACTCTTCAGTCTTTGGCCAGTTTTGCCAGACGGAGTTGTTTTGGAGCAGAGCCCTGAAGTGACTCAGTGCTCAGAGGAGATGGCACATCTGGGGAGAAGGTGCTTGTAGCTTTGTGCTGAGATGTTGGGTTTTTTCTGCTGGGGTCCTGGTAACTGTCTGGTTACAGAAGAGCTGCTTGCTTTATTAGGGGTTTCCTGTTGTTTTAAGGTAACCGGTAAGTGCAGGGGCGTGTGTGGTTTGAACCCTGTGGTTCTTACGAAGTGGTGGTATCGGGTACCTCTCCATCTCCGGCCTCTCTGAACCCGTGACCCACGTGGTGTGCGAGGGGGCTGTGGGGACACCAGAGACAAGGCTGCTCTGCTTCACAGTCACCCTGCCTCACTGCTGGGTGACCAAGGCAGCAGCGTCTTTGTCTTGCTGCCTGCACCGACAGGAGTTTCTGGATTAATTGTTCCAGCCCAGTTTAATTGTTTGGGAGGGAAGGTTTCGAGTACCCTGTGCAGGGATGCTGACCTGCAGGGATGCTGAAATATAGGGGTGCTGACCTGCAGGGATGCTGACCTGCAGGGATGCTGCCTTACCTTCGGTCAGGGAGCTCAGTGCCTGTGACCAGCCTTTCCTTGGGAGAAGGAAAGCCCTATTTTCTGTAGCTCCAGACTAAGCAAACTGCTTTGGCCTTGGCCTGCTGGGCCTCTGTGCACCCCAGCAGAAGCAAGGTCTGGTCTTACCCAATCTTGCACCTGAACACCCTGGTTTTCTCTTGGGTTTTTTTTTGTTATTTTTTTTTTTCCTGGTTAGGCAGAAATGGTGTTTTTGAAGCATTGTCATGGGAGAATGAGGCGTCAGGCCCTGAATGGTGATAAACCCCAAATTGTACCCAATGCCCAAAATTTCTCTGGGCAACAACTTGAAGTAAGATGGGCTTCCCAGGCAGGGCCCCCGAGGGGAGAAGGGAGATGCTGAGTGACATCCCTGGGTCCCCAACGGGTGGCCACTTGGATGTTCAGCCAAAGGAACATGCAGGTGGGTCGGAGCTGGAGCCTGCCAGGATGAAGGGAGTCTCATCAAAGTGAAATAGATTTATTTCCAAGTGCTGATTTACTGGTGATGGGCGGGTAATTTATAACCTTTTCTAATAGACCTCCTGTCCCGGTGCCAGCTGGGTGACCTGCAGAGCTCTGTCCTTTGCTCTCTTCTTACACCCCACGGACTCTTGTGCCAGATTCTGACCGGGGCCAGGCCTTTCCCCACGGCTTAGAAAAGGGAGGGATCCTCTTAAAAATGGGATGGACTCTCTGAAGCATGTACTTGCTCGCTGGGGCCTTTCTGAGTAGAGAAGCAGGAGAGAAGAGGACTTGCCGGGAGCTTTCCCCATTGTCAGAGGTTGGCATCTTCCTCTTCCAGGAACAGCCGGTGTGTGCCCAGACATCTTTCTCCAGCAGAGCTGGGGCTGGAGGCACCCTCACACCGAGGGGCCAGGCTTGAAAATCCATAACCAGCATCACTCACGTCTTTCCAATTTCACCTTTTCCTTTCTGAACTGGTTTCAGGAGGCAGAAGGAAGGTACGGTGGGTCTGTGTGTGCCCGTAACCTCTCAGAGGACCTGCCATCAAGCTGGTAACCTCTGTGAGGGCAGATCTGCTGCTTTGAGGACTTGACTGTCTTGCAGCCCCCCCGAGAGCCCGCAGGACAGTCTGTGAGTGGGGTTTCTCCTGGAGGATGAGCCTGTGCCTGTCTCTAACGGTGCTCTGTTGCTTCCCTGTGCGTCCCCAGCTGCAGAGGAGGAGGAGGAGGAGGCTGAGGCAGGGCTTAGAGCAGAGAGCGCGGCGGTGAGCGGTCAGGACGAGCCGGCAGCCGAGGAGGCCGTGCTCCCGTCGGCCCCGGGCGCAGAAGAGGAGCGTGGAGCGTAGCCTAGGCCCCACACCGTAGCCTAGGCCCCACACCGTAGCCTAGGCCCCACACCGTGAGTGCCCGCGGGGGCGTCCCGTGGCCTGGAGAGAGAGGGGTCATCTCCCTGCTGCCCCCAGGCTTCGGCAGGATCCTGCCTCTCTCCAGGGCAGTTGTGTTATTTCAAAAGCAGATAAGTTTGTTCTGCAGGAGGAGGAGGAGGAGGCTGAGGCAGGGCTTAGAGCAGAGAGCGCGGCGGTGAGCGGTCAGGACGAGCCGGCAGCCGAGGAGGCCGTGCTCCCGTCGGCCCCGGGCGCAGAAGAGGAGCGTGGAGCGTAGCCTAGGCCCCACACCGTGAGTGCCCACGGGGGCTTCTTGTGGCCTGGAGAGAGAGGGATCATCTCCCTGCTGCCCCCAGGCTTCGGCAGGATCCTGCCTCTCTCCAGGGCAGTTGTGTTATTTCAAAAGCAGATAAGTTTGTTCTGCAAGGGAGTCCTTCTTTAGGTTTGGGGTCTGTATCTGTAAGGGAGTCCTTCTTTAGGTTTGGGGTCTGTATCTGTAAGGGAGTCCTTCTTTAGGTTTGGGGTCTGTATCTGTAAGCACAGGGGGCTGCAGAGGGAGGTGGTGTGTGACCACACTCAGGGGGGTTTCTCAGCTGGTGGAATCCAGCCCATTCCTGCATCCCAGCCCGGGGAACGGCGCTGTAGCCGTAGCCTAGGCCCCACACCGTGAGTGCCCGCGGGGGCGTCCCGTGGCCTGGAGAGAGAGGGGTCATCTCCCTGCTGCCCCCAGGCTTCGGCAGGATCCTGCCTCTCTCCAGGGCAGTTGTGTTATTTCAAAAGCAGATAAGTTTGTTCTGCAAGGGAGTCCTTCTTTAGGTTTGGGGTCTGTATCTGTAAGGGAGTCCTTCTTTAGGTTTGGGGTCTGTATCTGTAAGCACAGGGGGCTGCAGAGGGAGGTGGTGTGTGACCACACTCAGGGGGGTTTCTCAGCTGGTGGAATCCAGCCCATTCCTGCATCCCAGCCCGGGGAACGGCGCTGTAGGGAAGGTGTGTTCCTGTCCTCCCTTCAGCTGAAGTGTTCTCTTGCTTTTTAACTCTTCCAGTAGCCCTTAGCCTGCCTCCCTGCCCGGTTTATGCACTTCAGTGGGATTAAAAAGTGGGAGCTGAGGCAGATTTGCAGTGTTTAGGGAGCTGTGGTGTGTCCGGCGGGCCCGGGACAGAGTGGGTGCCCTTGAGGTATCTCTGACCTGTGGCTGCGTCGTCTGCCTTTGGAAAACCCCCGTGTTCTGCCCTTTGAGAGCAGCAGAGCGGGCCAGAGCCTCTTCCCAGTTGGGTGAGGGCTGAGCCACATTTAAACCCAAGTAAGGGCTGTCGTGTCCGGGGATGACAGGCAACTTACTGGAAGATTTTTTTATTTTCTTTTAAGTTTTCATGTGCAATTTGTGCTGTTTCAGAGGGATTAGAGACCTAAAGGTTAACTGTGGTCCCAGAGACCAGCAGTTCCCACATTAGAGTTGGCCTGGGTGGGCTGGATGTGGCTTTGGTTTAACTGAGCTGGGGAATGGCAAGGGGTTGTAACTGTTCGTTATGAGTTATTGCTTAATTGCTTAGGCAGGTAGTGAAATAAAGCGTTGTTCCCAGCCGGTCTGAATGTCTCCTCCCAACACTTGGGCGTTACGTTTTTGAGGTGTCAGTGACTGAGCTGGATGCGGCCACAAAGGGTGGGTGCTTTGGGGGTCCCAGACACAGCTGGCCAGATGTGGGGCAGAGCTCAGGAAGCCCCCGGGGAACCAGCTGGAGCAGGAGGAGAATTTCTTGATCCTGGATGTTCTGGGGCTGCTCCTGAGCAGCCGTGGCTGGAGGCAGGGCCCTGTCTTAGGAACGTCCTTGGGTCTGAACACGTGTGGCTCTTCACCAGCCTGGATTTGGGAAGGTATTTGAGCACGGGACAAATTCTTCTCCCTCAGAGAAGTCACCTCTGCCTTGAATTGCCCAAGACAGGGCAGAAAGCAGAGTCCCATGTGCCCCCAACCTGCCAGGAGCAGATTTGATCTGTATTTAGGCACTGAACAGTGGAGAACTGGGCCACTGTGGTGGGTGGTTCCTCGGCTTTACCCTGCAGCTTCTCATCGGGGGGGGACGGAGCTCGAGCTGCTCCCGGGGCTCGTAGGGATCCCTTCCAATGGGGCTGTTCCCAACCCCAAAGGGTCCGAGGGGCTGGTGAGATGGGACATGGGGGGTCAGGGTTTGGGATGGACAGAAACCCCAGGGGGAGCCCAGCCTGGCCCCCCCCGCGTTTGCCGAGGCAGGGGGCCGCTGTCCCACAGAATAAACTTTCGTCTGTTTTTTCACCCAAGTCTTCCTGCAGGATCCTTTTGAACTTGCCCAGCTCCACGTGAGTGTTACATTTCTAGCAGTGACGCCATATTTAAATAAAAACTTTAAAAAAAAGAAGTGTAAATGCCTGCTGCATTGGGTTGTGGCTCCGCTGGGCAGCGAGAGCCCGAGCACGAGTGACTCAGCGGGGAGTGGGTGTTCGATGGGGGGGGGAAGAGAGAACCTCATTAAATCTTACGTTCTTCAGAGGAAGAAGGGGCCTTGAGAACGTGCGCTTTTTATTTTTAAAGGGTTATTTAAAGATTTATGCATCTCTGTAGAAAGCTTTAAATGTTACGTGCCCCTGGTTCAATGGGTGTTAAACATCTCACCGGCGGGGAGCGGGGAGGGAGCATCCTCCCCAGGAGCCGCTGCCGTGGGGGGAGGCAGCAGATGCAGGAGATGGATGCGAGCATCTTCCCTCTTGCTTTTGTGCTGCCTTTCCCATTTAGAAGGCTGTGCTCTGCTCTGCTTTTTTCGCTCTGCTTTTTTTTCCTCCCCTCCCGTTAACCCCTTCCTGCGCTGCAGCCCCGTCCCTCCCGCAGAGGCGTAGCTGGATTCGGGGGCTTTGTTTCGCTCTGAGCCTGGAAAATAAAGCTGGGAGCTCGGAAAGGTGCCTTTCCAGCTGCAAATCAGGGCTGCGTGTTTGTGTCTGACAAACACAGCCATTCTGAAGCTCTTCAGGGTTTTATTTTGAAGCCTTTTTTCTTTTTTTTCGGTGCCTGAATGAGCTGGATGGAGCCATTAAGAGCTGTGAGAGGTGGCAAGGACCAACAGGCACGTTCCCAACGCCTCCCCCAGCCCTCCTTTTATTGACTGTATTTTTAGCCCCGCTCAGCCGGTGAGGGGAAGGTGGGATGGGGCTGCTCCAACAGACACAGCGCTGGGTCACTGGCTTCCGCGTGGGCAGGCAGTTGCCAAGACTCCATCCCATGTTGAATTTTTATTTTCATTAATTCGAACGTCAGCAACTGTCATTGGTGAAGGAGGTAAAATTAGCTTGCGATTCACCCTCCCTCCTCGGGATCCATAATAGACTCCTGGGACTGTGCTTGGGAAGCAGGGTGGGAGGGGGAGGAGGGAAGAGTCACACAAAAGACAAATGAACTGTTGGGATATAATTTTTTTTCCCCTCCCCAGTCAGAAATGTTAATTGCCTTGGCCTGAGTTCCGCTGAGGGAGGGGAAAAAGTGTTCAATTTTGCTCTTGGTGGGGTTATTTGAGGCTCTGCGGCCGCGCAGTTGGGATGGGGGGGGCAGAGAAAAAGCCCCGACCGCTGGGTTGGGGGGTGGCCGGGCTGTGATGCTTTTGGGGGTGCCCCACAGGGAGTGCTCAGCTCCCACGGGGGAGACCCCATCCCTGCCAGAGCTTGGAGCTGGTGTGTCCCCCCTCTCCTGGGGGGGCTGCTGGAGCCTGGCCACTGCCACCCTTCCTGGCAACCCCTCGCAGGGGGCAGAAGCCCATGGAGGGGTAACGGGTCCATAAGGGCACCTGTGGGTAGAGCTCCCGGGCTGGGCATCGGGGTGGTGGCAGCTCCAAGGCACCTCCATCCCGGATGGTGACCCGTGCGAGGGGCTGGCTCCGTTTCTGGGGGCTGGGAGGCTGGATGGTGACTGGGAGCGGTGTCAGGGCTCTCAGCAGCCAGGGGTGCAGCCTGGAAACCTCCTGCTTTCATCGGGGCTTCCCCTGAGCCGGTCCCAGGGGGCAGAGGGGCTGGGGGCTGTGTGGGGGCCGGGCTCCTGCTGCCTTTCGCCATTTCGGGTCTCGGGGAGGCTGATCCCCCTCCCCAGCGTGAGCCCTCCAGGGAGAGGAAGGTGGGTACCGAAGGTGACTTTCTCTGACCAAGGTGTGACCCCCACATCCCCCCACAGCTTTGGTTCCCAAAGGACTCTTTACCCACGGAGGGAGCTGCCAAGCTCCCCGCAGATGGAGGATGGGACAGGGGGCATGGGGACCCACGGGGACCCACAGTGGTACCTGGGAAGGACACAGCGCAGCGGGGGAGAGCGCAGGGTCTGAGGTGGACCCCCCTCCCATTCCCCTCCAGAGGGGAAGCAGCTTCTCCCACCGCCCCCAGCCCTGCGTGCGTCCCCCTCCTCCCCAGCGGTGGGGTGATGGTTGGCGCAAGTAGAGAGGGATGACGTGCCGCTCGGCCTTGGCAGAGAAAGGATTGAGCATCCTTTAAAGAAAATTATACATAATCGTCTTACAGCCTTCGCTTCCACTCAAACCTCTGAGTCATAACCGAAGGGCCCTGGAGCGTGACGTTCCTGCTGGAAGGAAATTGCCTGGGCTGGATCCGGTGGGGGGGAGCCGGGAACCTGACGCATCCTCTCTCAGCCCTGCCTCGGGCCGGGGGCTGCGCCGCGTTACCGATGGGAGCGTCTGCGCTGGTGTCACCCCCCTCCCGGCCGGGGCTGCGCTGGGGGGCTGTGTCACCCCCCGGGTGAGGGGCTGTCACCGAGCCCCGGCCATGGGAGCGGGCAGGTCTGCTGGAAGTGGCCCTTCATCTGCTCTGCTGAGTCACAGCCCCGAGGGGAGAGGGGCTGATTTGAAGCCATTCTCCCACCTGGGTGTCCCCTGTGGGGAAGGTGACAGCAGGCAGTGTCCCCTATAGGGAAGGTGACAGCAGGCAGTGTCCCCTGTGGGGCAGGTGGCAGCAGGCAGTGTCCCCAGCCCCGGCCAGACGTGGCCATGGGTGACAGCCCCTTCCCCTGCGCTGCCGAGGCAGCCGGGTGTTTGCCCTACAAACAGCCCCCGGGTGCTCCAGGATGGGGCTGGGACTCGTACCCTCCTCTGGGGAAGGGAGGAGGAGGAGGAGTGACTTCCTCCACTGCTGCCCCTCTGCTCCCCACGCTGCTCCTGGGGGTCCGGGGTGGGCACAGGGAGGAAGGGGGCATGTTGTTCCCAAGGTCTGAGTGGCCATGCCCGTAGTTCTTGCTGCTTCAGGTTTTCTTCTCTCTCATGTCACTGGGGACCACCAGCCACCATGTGCTGGAGAAACAGGGGGAAACCAGTCCTTGGTGGGAGCAGGGGGGCAGCCTCAGGCTCCCCACCTCACCCATCCCTCCTTTGGGCTCCCCAGAAACGGGCTCCGGTTTCCCAGGGGAGCCGCGTGGGTTTGGGGGCGATGGGAAGGGCTGCTCCGGGGGACGCTGCCATCCTCCTCCTCTTCCTCACCGTGGCCCTTGCCTTGCAGGACAGGTGCCTGAGGAGGAGGCCGGGCAGAACGGGCAGAGCCGCGCCAAGGGGCTGCCCAAGGCCGTCTGCATGAACGGGACGGAGCCGGGGCAGCTCAGCACCAGGTCCAAGGCGGAGCGACGGGCCAGCGCCTCTTCCAACCCCTCCCGCAAGGCCTGCTCCGCCAGCAGCAAGATCCGCAAGCTCTCCACCTGCAAGCAGCAGTGAGGGGGGAGCCCCCCCATCTCCCCAGCTCTGCACAGGTGGGTGGGCAGCCCCCGGTGACACCCCGGGATGGGGGGAACACAGCAGGGGCGGGGGGAGCTGGAAGGGGTGTTGTGTGGTGCTGCTGCGGAGGGGTCTGGGTCCTGAGCATCCCCCTGTGCATCCTCCCAGCTCCCAGAGCCTGCACCCCTTGTGATCTTGGGGGTGCAGGTCCCATTGGGGACTCCCTCGTGCTCCCCCTGCCCTGCTGCCTGTGTGCCCCTGCTCTGCCCCCTCCTCGTGAGCTGCTGCTGCGTCAGGAGGGAGCTGCCATCACGATCCTTTCCCCCTCCTGGGCTGGGTCAGGCTGTCGTGACAGCCCCTCTCCCTGAGTCCCCCCACTTTCTCCCCGGTGTGCAGTATCTGGGCTGCAGCAGGATGCTGGATGCTTCCAGCAGCATCCCTGAGAGGTGACCTCCCCCTGGTCCAGGAGGTGGCCGTGTCACCACCCGTGGCTGTACCCAAGCCCCTTCCTCCCCTTGGGGCAGCTGAGGGCCCTCCCTGTGCCCCCCCCTCCTCCTTCCGGCCCCTTCCTCCCCCCTCCCATCCCCTTCTTCTTCTTCTTCCCACCCCTCATTCATAACTGAGCCAGCAGTGACTCATGCTCGCTGCTCATCCACCCCCGGCCTCGCGCTCGTCACCGCCGCTCTGTGGGACTGAGCCTCTCTTATCTGTTTGGATCACGACCAGCTTTTGTGGTGTGAAAAAAGCCAGAAATAAAAGGCTGTTCCTCCCCCTGCAGCTGCCAGCCCCGCGCAGCCCCTCTGCCAGCTTTCATCTTTAATTCATGGCCGGGAGTGAGTCACCTGCACGGGGAGTCGCTGGATGCAGCGAACGCCCGGGATCTGGGTCTCCCCAGGGATCTGCTGCTGCTTCCCCCCTTCCCGCTCGGGTCCCCGGCGCTGGGGGGCTCAGCAGCAGCCCCCCCGGGGGTTTGGGGAAGGGGAAGGTCTGGGCAGGGTCGGGTGGGTTGGAGATCACCCGCTCTTGCACTGAGCCCCCTCTTTAGTCAGCACCTTGAAACCTCTGAAGGCAGGAACCTGCTCCTCTCTCCTGGCCCCGACCCACAGTCCCTGCCCCTCTTCTCCCCTCGGGATTGGGGGGCAGGGCCAGCGTTACCGGCCAAAGGGCCAGCATGGGGCAAGCACCCCCCCCTTTCCCCCCCCCCCCCTGTGTCCCCCGTCCTCGCCCCGTCGCTGCCTCTCTCCTGGGACTGGACTGTGCTTGTGATCCAAAAAGAACCCAGAGGAAACCAACCAAGGAACCTGCCCCCCGCCTTCCCCGCGGCCCCCCCAGGCCAGCACCGGGAGCCGGACGCTGCCGGGGCCGGACCCCACTCACCACCTGGGACAACGAACTTCTCCGGCTGCGAAGATGCTGCCCCTCCTCCTCCCCAATCACTCTTTGCCAATCAAGACACTGATTCTGTTTTTAATTTTGCGATGGGAAGGGTGGGACGAGGGGGGCCGGGGTGCGGTGGGACCCCCCCCCTCCCCG